TCCCTGTTGTCCCCGGACAGGGTCTCCATGGTAGATACCCTGAGGGGAAAGCTCACCCTGCTGTCAGGGCGCCCTCTTATCTTCCTCTGGGCCCTCCATTATGTCGCCCTGCAGTGGCCGGGGAGCCTGTACCCCTGGTGTTTCTGCGGAGGTGGGGAGCTGGCTCTGGGAGCCCGGTGAGAAGGGCCCTCGAGGGAAGGGTCCTGGGCTCCCCCCCCTCCCCATGGCGGGATGGCGAGATGCTCAGGGGCAGGGGCACGAAGTTCGTGTCTTCCCCTCTCAAGCGCTCCGAGCAGAGCGGCCTGGCCGGCACCGGGGAGCGAGCATTGCACAGGCAGAGCACAGGCGCCCCCAGGCCCTCTGAGTGTCTCTGCCCGCTCCCGCGTCCCCAGGCGCTGCAGGCAGGTGAGAGTGGAAGAGCTCAGCCCTCTGCACACTCCTTGGGGGAGCTTGTCCTGTCCAGGCTTTTACCTTTGTCCTCAGGGCTGTTGTTAAAACCCTGGCCACTAGAGGGCCCTAGAGCCAAGTGATCGTCTATTTGGTTTGACAACCAGAAGCAGGAAATAGAAAAAATGCCAGGAACAGGACTGGGGTAACTTCAAAAAGTCCCCCTCCCCCCGGCCTCCCTCTCCCCGTCCCCTCCCACGCACAGAAATCCCTGCTGCCTCCTCACGGTGTGTCCGCTCAGAGATCTGCATCTGCCAAGGAGCTGCCCTCCGAGGCCACAGCCCTGTTCCCACAGGGAAAACCCACGTGGGGCCGGCCTGGTGGGACGTGGGGCCCGGACGGGTGGCAAGTGCTCCCTGCGCTCCGCTGCCACGGGTGACATCAGGCACGTCCTCGCTATCCGTAACAGCCTCCTCCATAGTGTGGGCTTGGACCGTGGGTCCCAGGTCCCTCTCCGTCCCAAAGCCTGAGCCGGGCGCTGCCCTCCAGGGCAGCTGTCAGTCCTGTGCCCCAAGCTGGTCAAGGGAAGAGAGCCAGCTCCGGGCTCCCTCTCCCCAGAGAGCATGAGGCCTCCTCCCCCTCCTTGGTTTGATGACACTGGGTTAGAGCATCGTCCCAACACACCAAGGTTGTGGGTTCAAGCTCTGGTCAAGAAGCAACCAGTGGATGCATAAGCAAGTGGAACAACAATCTCTCTCCCTTCCTCTCTCTAAATTAAAAAAAAAAGTGAGTGGCTTTTTTTATTTCTTCCCCCTCCTCCCTCTCTCCTCCTCCCCTTTTCCTTCCCCCAGCTTCTCCTCCCTCTCCTCCTCCCCCTGCCCCTTCTCCTATCTCATTCTCCTCCTCCTCCTCCTCCTCTTTCTCCCCCTTCCCCGCCTCCTCCCCCTCGCCTGCCCTCTAGGCCATGGAGGCCAGGGGCTGGGCCGGGAGGTTAAGGCGCCCATTCTAGAGCCGATGGCACGCTCACCTGTGTGTGAAGTGGGGGGTCTGAGCGTGCAGAGCAGTAGGATGGCAGAGGGGCAGCGCCGGACCACCCCAACGTGTCGCAGATGGGGAGACCGAGGCGCAGGCAAGGACTGGCGGTCAGAGCAGCGCTGGGACCAGCTCTCAGCCGCCAGGCCTGGGCAGCCCTGGCGGGCTCTCACGGCCTGGCTCTCTGTGGGGACCTGGCGCTCGCTGACCGACGTTCTCACGGGACCCGCTGTCCAGCCCGGGGCTCAGAGCGTGGCGGATGGAGCAGGGGGCCGGCGGGGCGGCCACGGTGCTCATGCTGCCAGGACGAGAGCAGGACACACACACACACACACACACACACACACACACACACCCCACATACCCCACAGCCGGGGCACATCGGCCTCCACTGGGTGCAGCACTGCTGACTGCACGCACACCCTCTTGGTGGGGCCGCGTGGTGGCTGCCATCCCTGCCGCTCTCACCGTCGCCCCTACCCAGGGCCCCGGCTCCTGCTGCGAAACCTCAGGCTCCTCACTGTCCTTCGGAATCAGGGCTGCCCGCCTCCCTAACGCTCACCCAGCCATCCCTCCAGGCGGCCGCTGGCTGGGCGGGCACACGGCCACCTCTCATCACCCACACTCCTGCCGGCCCCCTGCGGCGCCCTCCTCCCTCCTGAGACCCTCCCCCTCCCGTGTAGGCCTAGCTCAGCTGCTGGCCTCTCCCCGCCCCGGCCCCCCTGGGCTCCACAGGCCCCCAATCTCCGAGCCGTATCCTGGCGGTAACGCAAGGCCGCCCCGGGGTGGCGTGTCCCTGGAGGAGTCTGTGTGGTCATATCGCCTGGGCGTCCTGTGGCTCAGGGACCGAGGGCGGGGGACTCGAGGACGGCAGCGCGTGGGCCTGGGGTGGGCTGGACAAAGGCAAGTGGAGTTCCAAACTGGGGTAAAGTTCCAGGTCAACCAGGCCACGCAGCGCCCGTGTCCCGCACCCATCCCTCCGTCCGCCGGCGGCCCACCGGCACTCACCCAGCCCCGGTGTGTCAGCTCCCGCCGTTCCCAGCGAACGGAAAACAATTCCTTTCTGGGTAATTTCTCTGATGAGGGGCAAGAACAAAATCTCTTTGCACAAATCGCCTCCACAAATCTCAGGGCGCTTTGTCCCGCTTCCTCCCCAGGCACCGTGTTCCCACACTTCTGCAGACCGCGCCCTGGACCCTGGGGGCCGCTGCAGGCTGCGCCCTGGGCCGTGGGGGCGGCTGTGAATGGGCTGTCAGCTCCCGCTCCCGCCCCTGCCTGTCCTTCCATTGTTCCTGCTGCCGTGACGGCTCCTCTCCCACCACCCGTGGGGCGTGTGGAGACAGTGGGGGCCGGGGCTGAGCTGTCACCCACGGAGGAAGTTAGGAGCCCCACCCGGGTGCTGTGTGACAGGGGCTTCAGTGACACCATCTTCTCTCCTGAGCGCCCCCCCCAGGGAGCTGGCGGGTCTGCCGGAGGCGTAGCGTCGGGGATGGGACAGCCCCAGAAAAGAGGTGCCGGGCGTGACCTTGGGCACGTCCTTGACCTCTCGGAGCCTCAGACGCCCCCGTGACCAGGATAGCCTGCCTCCGGGACGCTGTGTGCATTAAGGAGCCACCAGCGGTGACCGTTCCGGAAGGGACACGCTGGTTCTGGTGGGGGGGGGGGAGCAGGGCCGTGCTGAGGAGGGAGCTGACCCCAGGAAAACGCCCCTTTCCTTGTGGCCTGCGGGGGGCAGCACCAGGAGAGGCCTGGGCTCCCACCTTGGCTGTGCCGGTGGCTTGGGGCACGGCGTGGCACCTTTAAGAGTTCTCGTGGGAAATGCTGGCGGGAAGTGGGGAGTGGGGCATGAGAACTAGTGGCAGCCACCAAATGACCTGATGGACGTAGTGCCACACCCATGGGGGCTCCGAACCTAGGCCCCTGCCCCGGGCAGAGGGGGGGTCAGGTTGCTGCCCCAACCCCCAGAAGGGACACCTGGTATTACCTCACCCCCCCCCTCCCCCGTGTAGGGACACCAGTGCCGCCCCCCCCCCACCCCGTGCAGGGACACCAGTGCTGCCCCTCCCCCCGTGCAGGGACACCAGTGCTGCCCCCCCCCCCCCCCCCCCCCCCGTGCAGGAACACCTGGCGCTGGGTGCAGGCAGCAGCCTGTTTACCAACAGGAAGGGGACAGAGCCCGGCAGGAGCCTTGAGCCCACAGGCTGGGGGCGACCTCATGTTTACGGTTCATGGAAGCGTCCAGTCTCCAGAGCCAGTGCACACAGCTGGCGGCCTGCGGGGAGGGCGTCTTCACGCCTCTTCTCCTGCCCGTGCCCTCCTCCCACGGCTCAGCGGCCTTCGGCCCGAGGGGCTGGCTGCGGCAGGATGGGCCCACCTCACCCTGGCCTCTGACCTCCTGCGCTGTGGTTCGGTCCGTGCGCCTCCCGCACACACTGCGTTTGCGCAGGAAGTGCCAGCCCCTGCCCCGACAGTGAGTGGTGAGTCTGGGGGGTGGGGCTGACGTGTGAGGCATTTAGTGGCCTCAAATCTTTAGGATCAGAGGGGAGGTGGCGCCGACCTTTAACCTCACCCCACGCCGCCCAGGGCTGTGGGGCTGCGGGTGAGCAGGACGAGGGGACCTGTCCGGCACTGACCACGGGCCACAGGGAACCACGCACGCGCTGTCTCACCAGCGACTGGTTTCACAAATCACCGTGACCATGCGCGCTTCAGCCGTGGCAGGCTGCGGGTGGCGGGCCGTCAGGCCACGAGGCAGGGCCCGGCCTGAGTCAGTGCTGCTCGTGGCCACGCAGACCGCGCTGGCGTGGAGCTCGGCGTGGGGCAGGCCTGTCCTCGGCCCACGGGAAAGGCCTCCTTTCAGCAGAGGCAGGAGGAGCAGGTGGTGGGTCCAGCACACGCTTTATTCGCTGTCGGGGCCCTGCCGTTCTGCCCCCTGTGGGGACACAGCCATGCTTCCCAGGGGCTGGAAGGGACACCAGGTCCTGTTTACCGGGCTGGTGGGCCCAGGAGAGACCCTCCCCCCTCCCCGCTCCCCGCTCTCCCTCGCATGAGGCAAGCTGTGGAGCAGAGTGCAGCTGGCTGTGCTGTGCCCTCCGCCCCGCCTGGCTCCGGCCTGGAGGGAACCAGGGCCTGGGCCACGTGACGGCTCAGAGAGCCCGCAGGACCGGCGGGCAGCGTCAAGGCTTAGCAGCCACCAAATAAATAGCAAGTGTCACGTGGAGTCCACACAGCAGCACGTTCGAGAACAAATCCACACACGTGAGCGGGGCGGGCGCCGGGAGGGTGGAGGGAACGTCATGCAGAGTGCCTCTCGGGATGGGCATCTGGTCCGCCCGGCACCCAGCCCCGCTCGGGGGAGTGGGGGCAGGGGGGGTCGGGACGGGGTCAGGCCGTGCATGCAACGTCCATGCCGAGGGGCGTTCCTCGGGGCAGTGCTGAAGCAGGCGGCTGGCGGGGGCGGCCCGCTGCACACGACAAAGGCCCCTGCACGTGCACACGCGAGCACACGCACACACACGCACACACGGTCGGCATTCGTGTTGCCCCGCCCCCGCCGGGCGGGGGGGAGGGGGGCCGCGGCCTCACACGGCCGACAGGAAGGGGAAGAAGAAGAAGTCGAAGGCGAACTTGACGGCGCCATGCACGGTGCTGCGCCAGTCCTGCTCGATCTTCACATGGCGCCGGGCGGGCGCCGGCTGGGCCAGGCAGTTGAGGCAGCTGATGGCCTTGAGCTCGAACACGGGCCACTTGCTGCCCAGGCGGCCCTCCAGCACGGTGCTGAACTCGATGAGGCTGCCCTGGCGCAGGCCCAGCAGCACCTCCTTGAACTCGCCGCTGGCCCGCAGCACGATGTCCTTGGTCACGTCGTCCTCCTCGGGGCCGCGGCCGCCGTTGGCGCCGAAGGGCATGCCCACGGTGATCTCGAACTTGTAGCGGTCGAAGCGCTTGATGTGGCAGGGGTGCTTGGCCAGCCGCGTGAGGCGGCACAGCTCCTCCTCGGCCGTGGAGGCGCCGCCGGGGCTGCAGGCGGGGTAGGCCTCGCCGTACAGGCAGCGCATCCAGTCGCCCACCACGAACGGCAGCATGTTGATGGCCGCCTCGGCGCTGTTGTCGATGTCCGTCACCCGCACGTACTTGAAGCGGCCGGTCCACGTGACGCGGTGGCCCTCCAGGTGGCTGCACAGGATCTGCGTGCGCGCCATGTTGGTCTCCCGCCAGGCCCGCGGGCCGCACAGCGCGCCGTACTGCGGCCAGGTCAGCGTGGAGTTGTACACCTTCATGCCCTCCGAGCGGTACACGTAGAACCAGCAGAAGAGCACGATGGCCGACACCCACACCAGGATGAGCTTGACCACGGAGCTGCGCGTCAGCGAGCGCGCCACCTCCAGCAGCGGCCCGCGGGCGCGGCCCCACCCGCGCAGCAGCACGGGCACCCCGCACAGCGCCAGCGCCACCGCCACCTTGGTGAGCTCCAGCGACGTGCACCAGAGGGCGAGCCGCGCCGCGCCCATGAGCGCCAGGCCGGCCGCCAGCACGGGCAGCGCGAAGAGGAAGAGGAAGTAGCCGATGGACGCGCGCACCAGCCCCAGGCCGGTGGAGTGCAGCAGGAGGACCACGGCCAGCTCGCACCACATGAAGCACACCAGGTAGGGCACCAGGTAGCAGTAGGTGCCCCGGAAGTGCCGCAGCTGCGCCATGCGGAAGCAGAGGAAGAGCAGGTACACGTAGAGCAGGCAGGGCAGGCTGGCGTTGAGCACGGCCAGCTGGCCCAGGGGCACGGTGAAGAAGGTCTGGCCCAGCAGCTTGAGGCCGGGCCAGTCCACGGGCAGGCCGGGCAGCAGGGAGAGCAGGCCGGCGGCCACCTCGGTGGCCAGGGCCCGGCGGGTGTAGGGCTCGGCGGAGCTGCTCAGGCTCATGTAGCTGGTGGCGGTGAAGAAGACGGCCACCACGGCCAGCTCCGAGCAGGGGATGCAGTCCTTGCTGGCGAGCGGGAAGGAGAGGATGACGAAGGCCACGGACAGCAGGAAGTGCACGTAGGGCTCCAGGTGGTTCCAGCCGAAGTTGCCCTCGGCCTGCTCCACGTCCAGGCCGGGCTCGAAGCGCAGCAGCAGGCCGGTGAGCGTGCGGAAGCTCTCCCAGGCCCGGCTGTCCTGGAAGACCTTGAGGGTGCAGATGACCATGGACAGGAAGCTCAGGTAAAAGACCACGAGGGGCACGAAGAAGGCGAAGAAGTCCACGGTCAGGTTGCTGATGATGAAGAAGAAGACCAGGGCGTTGATGTGGTGGGTGGGGACGATGGTGGACAGCCAGTGCATGCCCGCGCGCGAGGCCATCTCGATCAGGTACTCCTTGATCTCCATGATGGCGTGCAGCGGGAACTTGACCACCTGTGGGGTGGGAGAGGGGGTGAGACGAGGATGGAGGATGGAGCCGGGCCCGGAGGCTGCTCGCTGCCCTCATGACCCCAGGAGGCAGCCGCCCAGCTCTGGCCCCGTCCGCGCGGGTCTTTCCATGCAACGCTCTGCGTGAGTCCCCTGCACCCGGCTCCCGCTCTCCTGGGCCCCAGCTCCTGTCCTGCAGGAGGTAACCTCCATCCTGGGCCGTGAGCTAACAGCTTCTCCGAGCGACACCACCTGAGTCACACGGACGCAGCGCTGGTTTCCAGACGGAGGGCGCGGGGGCGGGGGCCCGTGCTCACCTTCAGGCGCAGCGGCAGGTCGTCGGGGCTCCTGCCCGCCAGCTCGTCGTCCTCATCGTCCTCGTCCTGCAGGAACAGGTCGGTGGGGAGGATGCCCTGGGCGTACTTCTTGGTGATCTCCACGAAGTCGTCCAGCGCGATGTAGTTCTTGGCTGAGGAGGGGAGAATGGCACGGAGGGCTGTCACCGCCCGGGGGGCTGTCACCGGGGCTGTTACCCGGGCTGTCACCGCCTGGGCGGCCAGACGGGCAGTGGCTGGGGCACCCTGAGGCCTGGGCTCAGACACCCATGTCTGTCCTGGGCGGTGGGTGAGGACTCAGCCAACGAAGAGGAGGAGGAAGAGGAGAGAGAAAGAGAGAGAGAAAGAGAGAGAGAGAGAGGCAGACGGCTGCCAGGAACAGAGCAGGAGCCGAGGCCCCACCCTCAGTGATGGCTCTGCCCAGAGCCGGCCCCTTCCTGACACAGTTCCCACCTGCACGGGGGAAAGTGGGAAGTGGGACGCGCCCTCAGTACGGTGCCCGCCCGCCCCGAGGCAGCTGAGACTCTGAGGGCCTCTAACGTCCAGTGTGGTCCCCCACCACCACGTCTCCTCCCGTGGGCGCCCAGGGCTGTGACAGGAGCGCACGCACACGGTGTCTCCTAGCTGGACGTCCCAAAGGCACCCCAGCTCCCGGAGCCCCCGATCCTCCATCCCTTCCCCCCCACTCTCTGCCCCCCACCCCCCAGCCCATGCTGGATGCGGAGCCCCCACTCTCCCTGCTGGGTGCCCCACCCTTGCTGACTCACCCAGGACCCGATGTGCCCAGGGCCGCAGGGACCACCGTGTCTGCCTCCCGGCCCAGGCGCATGCTCCCAGTGGCTAGGGTCCAGGTCCTGTGCCCAGAACTGACACCCATCACGCCCCAAGACCTGGGGACGCGGTGCACGCGGGCACGGGTGGCAGACATGGCTGTGTGGGAGCTGCCCCGGGCGGCCATACTCACACTCGCTGCTGACCAGGCGCTCCAGCACCCGCCGCTGCTTCTGCAGGGACTTGGGGACGGGGCCCGGCTGCGCCCCTCCATCTGCGGGACAGAGCGGAGCGAGGATGAGGCGGGCAGCCCTCCGGGGTCCCCGAGCTCTGGGGCCTCAGGGCCTGGGCCTCCGCCGTAGGTCACGTCCTCCACCCGCCCCTCCGGGCACAGCGCGTCCCTTTACGGGCACACGGAGACCTCTGGCCAGCGTGACGGTCCCCACACACGTGGCTGGCGTTGTCCGTGCCAGGGCCCTCCCTGGCCTAGGCTCTGTGTGTCCCAGCCCTTCGGCCGGGGCTCCGTCCGGGTCTGCTCCGCGGTGATCACAGCCAGCACCAACATGGCTGCCCTTTTGTCAACACCGTCATGGGCCGCAACCCCCTGGGCTCCTCCTGCGTGCCACCCGCCGAGGGAGGACCCGCAGGAGGGCAGGGCGTGACAGCAGGAGCGGCTCCGGCCCCCAGCGGAGGGGCTGTGCCTCTGCGGGGTCTCTGGGCTCCAGGGTGGCCCCACTGTCACACCAGGCATGCCCTCAGGCCACACCGCCCCAGGAGGGGCCCCGCCCAGGCCGCGGGGAACCCTCGGGAAGCCGCGTACCCAGCTCGTTGACCTGCCCCACGTTCTCCAGCAGCTCGGCCACGGGCACCTGCTTCTTCCGCTGGGGGTTGAGCCTCCAGTACATGACCAGCGCAGCCTTGCGCACCGCCCGCTCCAGGTCGGTCTCGGAGGACAGCCGCTTCACCTCCTGCTCGTTCTCCGAGGTGATGCCTGGGGGACGGGAGCATCAGGGTCCGCCCCCGAGCCCGGCTCTGCCCGAGGGCCTGGGAGAGATCCACGGGAGGGGCGTCCCAGGCCCCTCTGGTCACCAGGCAGAAAAGGACCTCTGTTCGGAAGGACCCGGGGCCTGGTCCCTGTGAGCGCCCACCACCCCCGCCACCACTGTGGGGGGCACGGGGCCACTGCCCTCCCGCCCGCTCGCTCCTCAGACCCCGGGTCCTCAGCCTGCGGGCTCCCTCACAGCCTCTGGGCACCCCTGGCTCTGCCTCCACCATGGGGGACGCACTAGCCTGCTCGGACAGCGCAGGGCGTGGCGGCTCGGGAAGGAGGCCGGGTGAGGGACTGGCTACCACCACCACCAACCCGAGTTTCCACGGCATCAGCCCACCCCGGAGCTGCGGCATGGCAGGCAGCACGCACCCCTGGGCAGTGCTCCGAGCCCCCCGCACCCACCTCTCCCGTCCGCCAGGCAGAGGGTCAGACCCCGCACCCACCTCTCCCGTCCGCCAGGCAGAGGGTCAGACCCCCGCACCCACCTCTCCCGTCCGCCAGGCAGCGGCTCCAGGACCCCCGCACCCACCTCTCCCGTCCGCCATGCAGCAGGTCCGAGACCCCGCACCCACCTCTCCCGTCCGCCAGGCAGCGGGTCCGAGACCCCGCACCCACCTCTCCCGTCCGCCAGGCAGCAGCTCCAGGCCCCCGCACCACCTCTCCCGTCCGCCAGGCAGCGGCTCCGAGACCCCGCACCCACCTCTCCCATCCACCTGGCAGCGGGTCCGAGACCCCGCACCCACCTCTCCCGTCCGCCAGGCAGAGGGTCAGACCCCGCACCCACCTCTCCCGTCCGCCAGGCAGAGGGTCAGACCCCCGCACCCACCTCTCCCGTCCGCCAGGCAGCGGCTCCAGGACCCCCGCACCCACCTCTCCCGTCCGCCAGGCAGCAGGTCCAGGACCCTGCACCCACCTCTCCTGTCCGCCAGGCAGCGGCGCAGCAGCTTGACGGCCTCGCGCCGGCCCTGCTTGGCGGCCAGCGTCAGCCAGTCCACGGCTGTGCAGTTGTTGAGCTCCTCGTCCGCGCCGTCCGCCAGCTGCAGATAGTGCTTTCCCACCTGCGGGGGGCACCGCTGATGCCGTGCTCAGAGGGCCTCCTTCTCACCCTGACCTCACCCCCATGGCCGGGCCGGCCCTAACCTCACCCCCGACCTCACCCCCACGGCCGGCCCGCCCCTCATCTGACCCCCACGGCTGGCCCAGCCTCCAACCTGACCCTCATGGCTGGCCCACCCCTCACCTGACCCCACACCCGGCCCGCCCCTGACCTGACCCCCACGGCTGGCCCGGCCTCCAACCTGACCCCCACGGCCGGGAAACCTCAGGCTTCCTGTGCCGGGCGCCTCCCCTGTCACCCAGGCCAAGAAACAAGGTTGCAGGAACGGAGTCCCTCTGGCATCTGCACTACGCTGGGCCTGTGGAACCCTCAGGGCACCCGCTCCTCACAGGCCCCCCCCCTCCCCAGATGCAAGGAGAGTGAGGGTGGGGCAAGCACAGGCAGGAAGCAGGGGAGGCATCCTGGAGGTGGCGCCCTAGACCAGGTGTGAGCAGGACACAGGAGAGTCACGTGAGCTCCCCAAAGAGGTGGCAGGAATGACCGGGCACACAGAGAAACACAACAGGGGCCAGGCACATGGCAGCGTCACCACGCTGCACCCGAACCCGTCCACACGGCACCCCCTCTCCCCCGGTACCACCTCCGTGGCCACGGGGCTCTGGTCCGGGCCCGCGGCTCTGGGGCCTGCCCCCCGACACCCCGGTCCTCACCTCCGTCTGTGCCTTGGGGTCCCCGGCCTTGGCCTTCTCCAGCACTTCTTCAAAGGGGGCTTCCCTGTCTCCCTTCGAGGGCCCTGTAAGAGGGAAAAGAACGTCTCAGAGCCGGCCTGCGGGCAGGGGCCGGGAGGACAGCAGGAACAGCCAGGCTGGAGCACCTCCGTGCAAACCGGGCCGGGAGGTGAGCGAAGACCCCACGATGCCCCGCAGGGAGGGGGAAGGACACCGCCGGCGGTCAGCTCAGGCTCTGCCGTCTCTGGGCGCCTGGGGAGGGCGGGCCCACAGAGCCGAGTCCCCCCACCTCCCTGGGCTCCCTGCCTGGCTGCAGTGCTAGGAGGCCCCCCTCAATTCCGAGCCTGCACCCGAGGCCCAGCATCCGTCCCCCACAGACCGAAGGCACGTCTCCTGAGGTTGCAGTCCATACAACCGCAATCAGTGGGCGTGCATTCTGAGAAGAGACTTTATCATAGAGTTACAACCCATCCCCCGTCGTCCTGTGGTGGGATTTACATTCCAGGGGCTCGGAAAGCCCGCTGGGGGGGCAGCCAGGCCGCTAGGGGGTTCCCGGTCCCCTCGCTTTACAGGGGGTCATGCACCACTCGGTGTGGCATTGTGGGGGCGGTGCTCCCAGCTGACCACCAGCCCAGGCACCCGACCGAGCGCCTCCCTCTCTGAAAGGTGAGCCCGTGACGGCACCCCCGTCCCTCCCCAAGCTCACTGTCCCCTCCCCGCGTGCTCCTAACAACAGCTCCTGAGAAAGACCCCCATTCACCCCCACCCCCGCCCCTTCCTTTACAACCCACTGTGCCCCCGCCTATGCCCATCGCCCGGCCTCACCCACCGGGCAGTGGCCCGCCCGGCAGTGACTCGCCGCTGTGGCCACAGAATAGGTGCTTCTTAGGAACTAACGGCCTGCGCCTCTCGGGTGTCTCGGAAACAGAGGCAGAGTGAAAAGAAACAAGAGCAGCCCCACCCACACGCCCCACGCCCGGCCTCCCGGCCCTTCAGGCTCCGCCGGGCTCCGAGTCTACGGGACCCGGGCCTCCGGCAGAGGCGGCGGGCAGTGGCCTACGGTGACCGGCCTCCGAGGCCGGGCGGGGCTGGGACGGCGCGCGGGGAGGACTTCACGAGGCACCGGGCCCTCCCGTGATGCTCCCGCCCAGTCCCGGCCGGAGCCTGGAGCACCTCCGTGCAAACCGGGCCGGGAGGTGAGCGAAGACTCCCACGTTGCCCCGCAGGGAGGGGGAAGGACACCGCCGGCGGTCAGCTCAGGCTCTGCCGTCTCTGGGCGCCTGGGGAGGGCGGGCCCACAGAGCCGAGTCCCCCCACCTCCCTGGGCTCCCTGCCTGGCTGCAGTGCTAGGAGGCCCCCCCTCAATACCGAGCCTGCACCCGAGGCCCAGCACCCCTCCCCCACGGCCCAGCACCCCTCCCCCACAGACCAAAGGCACGTCTCCTGAGGTTGCAGTTCTCGCCACGGTCCACGGGACTCCCCGGCGGACGCTCCAGGCCAGGACGACAGCCTTGCCCCACGTGGCCGAGCCCACGGCCAGTCCTCCTGGGTACTATCACCCCTTGGCCCCGGGCGCACTTGCTGGCGGAGGACTCAGACTAAGGGGACCGCTCAGGGGCCTCCTGGGTGAGGGCGCAGCGGGAGGGGGTGTGGGGGGAGCCTGATCAGGGTGAAGTGCCTTCAGCATCAAAGCGGGGCGGCCCAGCCCAGTGAGAGCCGCCTCCACGGTCACTGACCCCCACAGGTGTATGAGGAAGGGGCGTTGTCTTAAGTGCAGGGCCGGCATCCACAAAACCTCAGCCTCAAGCCCCGCTCGGCCTGGCTGACCCTGGCCCCACTCTGACCCCTCACCTGCCCAGAGCGCCTGCATGGCCCGGTCCTTCCTCCCTCACACTCCCGGCACCCCCTCCCGCCCACTGTCTCCACACCCAGCTGGACGGGCCCTCGGACAATGCTGGGGTGAACACACCCTGCAGTCTGCACCCTCACCCAAAGGTGCCAGCCACCATCCCTGTCGGTGGCCCTGCTGCTGCCCAAGCAAGCACTTGGCCTGGTGTGGGCAGCGGGAGCCTGGGGACTCGGCAGGTCAGCTGCTAATGTGAGGGGCTGGGACCCCGAGGCTGCCCACCTGCCCAGGACTTGTCCTTCCCTGTCCTCCCCTCCCTTCTCTCCCCCCTCCTTTCTCCCCGTCCCTCCTCTCCCCCTCGGGGGCAGGACCACACAGAAACCACATGCTTCCTGACTTCTTATCGGAGGCGCCCAGGCCGGATCCGTCCTCTCCAGCTGTTAGCACCAGCCCTGAGGCCCGAGGAGGAAGGCGTGTGGCTGGGCTGAGATTCGGAGCTTCGGGCCGGGCCTGCCCAGAGCTCGGCAGTAAGAGCAGAGCACCCGGGGCTCCCACAGGGGACAGAGATCGGAACACCCGTCAGGGCTGGCCCAGCAGGGGTGGGGGTAGGACAGAGACTCGGTGGCCTTCACTCGCAGGGGTCCCCTGGACCAGTCTGTGACTCAGTTTCCTCATCTCCAAGTGGGGACAACAGCAGCAGGGCCCCTGTGGAGGGGGGTCCCCTAAGGCCCGGGGACAGGGACCCCACCGCCGTGCTCATCACAGTGGGGCGCTGCTGGGCCTCGCCGAGCTGCGGAGTCACCGTGGCAGCGGTCCCGCGCCCGCACAGCCCTCACGCGGACGCCGCGGGCTGGGGCGACCCCGCCCACTGCACGGGTGCAGAAACGGCGGGGTGACCCTCCGAGGCCCTCGGAACGGGGCCGCCACGATGACCAGACTGCGGCACACACGTGGCTGAGCAGCACACACGTGGCTGAGCGTAGTTGTGGGAACATGTCCCCGCTGACGGCGTGTGTGAGGGTGCCTGTGGGCGGGCGCGCTGGGTGACAGCAGCGCGGGCCTGCCTGGCCGTGGGAGGAGGTCAGAGAGCGTGAGGGGCGGCATGGCCTTCCGAGCCAGGCTGGCTGCACAGGAGGAGGTGGTGCCGCACTGTGGGACGTGGCTCCCGCGCAGCGCGGGGAAGACAGAGTGGTCTCGGGTGTGGGGAAGGAGGGGCGGCCACCCGGGGAGAGGAGAACAGGCTTTCTCCACCTGCAAAGCTCGGACCTGGCCCCGGAGCGGGACCACAGAGCAGGGTGCAGGCTTGCTCCAGTGGCAGCTGGCCCCGAGGAGTGGCCACGTGGAGAGGGGACTGCGTGAGCTCCCCCCGCCCTCCCCACCGCCCCCGCCCCAGGGCCTGGTGCGGAACCAGCCCAGGATGAGCAGGTCCGAGCTGATTATAAATAAAACAAGGTCACGTGGCCTCCAGTCTGCATGCGATGGAGTGGTAGGCCTTGACCCTCAGGGGAAGCCGCACGGGAGGAAGCTGGAGGGGCCCGGCCCACAGGGGGACGTGGGCTCACCCTGCACTGTGCCCAGCGAACGGCCCGGCCTGGGCTGAGGGCCACCCAGCTTCCCGGGCCCCAAACCCTTACCCGCTCTGTCTGCTCCTTCTCGGCTCCTGGCACGAAGGGCTGGGGGTGCCGCTGGGGCGCCAGCTTCTCCCACGGCTGGTCCCGGTCCAACGTGGGGCCCAGGACCTCCGGGTGCTCCACTCTGCTCCTGCTTCACCGTGGACGTGCCATTGAGCCGGGAGCGGGCCTGGGGCGGTGCCGGGGGCGGGGGCGGTGCCGGGGGCGACGGCTGTGAGCGGGAGGGGCTCGGAGGAGGGGCGCTGGCGTCCATCCTGCGGGGAGAAAAGCTGCAGGTCAGGCACACCTGGACCCCGAGCTGGGCCCGCTCAGGCCGCCTCTTCAGGGAAGAAAGGAGACCGCGAGGGAACGGCTGGGGCGGCCGGCCTCACAGCAGCTCCATAAGCCCCCACATTACAGAGGAGGAAACTGGGGGAGCAAATGCACTCAAGCCCAGTGCCGTCCGGCTCGACGGGCCCAGGAGAGGGAAGAGCTCAGGCCCCAGCCTCTGAGACCTCGAGTCCCCGCCTCACGGGGCACGAGCCACGCGGCCTGGCGTCCCCATCTGAGCAGCGAGGGGTGCCCTGAAGCGGCCTGGCCTCCATGAAGTCCACCTCACGTCTGCGGAGCTGACCCGGCCTGGGGAGGGGGCTCGCAGAGGGGCTACAGCTCTCTGGAGGAGATCACTGGATGGCGGAGCCTAATCGGTGACGGTGTCCGTGCCAAGAGAGGAGGGAAGCCGAGACCAGAGGAGACCACGGGGCCAGAAGGCAGAGGCAGGACCTGGAGTGGCTGCGACCCAGGACAAAGTCAGTCACGGCAGCTGGAGGCCAGGAAGGGTTCGCCCTCAGAGCCCCCAGAAGCCGGGGGGGGGGGGGGGAGGGAGGGGGGAAACCACAGTCTGGGACTGGGATTAAGTCAGATGGGCCCCACTCCAGGCCAGAACCACAGGACACAGATCTCAGAAGGCGAACGCCACAGAGAGGAACACAGAAACGCAGGGTGACGTAAGCCATGTGGCGTCTGAGCAGATCCTGGGCCCGGCTCACGATAGGGGCGGGGGAGTGGGGGTGGTGGAGGGGGAGGCTCAGCCCACAAAAGTGCTGCTCAGGCTGGTGGCAGCACGGACGGACGGACACCGCTGGCACGGGGAGGACAGCCACAGTCCGCTGCCCACGGACTCCCCGGGTCCTCACGGCCTGTCGGGGAGGCAGGAGTATCCGGGTGTTACAGGTGGAGACGCGGCTTATGCATCACTCCCACCCCGTTTCACAGACGAGGAAGCGCGGGGCCAGGAAAGCAGCCACAGCTCAGCATGGACACTGGAATTCCAACTCCCCAAACCTGCGTGTTTCTGAACAAGGGGCCCCAGCCATCGCCCCCCACGCCCTGCTCTCCCCTGGCCCGCGCTCCCCAAACGTGGTGCTCCTCCAGGGCCACAGCTCTGCCTGCCGCGGTCTCAGCTGTACTGCCCAGCCCGTCCCGAGGGCGGTTAAGGTTGTCCCAGTCCCCCCAGAGGCTGCCGCACTGCACAGCTGTGACCAGCTGTTCAGGAACATGTAAAGCTGTGCGGTGCGTACACACGCTTAAACAACAGGAGAATGAGTGTGTGTGTAACACTGTCAGGCAGGGTTCCAAGCAGCATGACGTCTGTGCAGGATGAAAGCAAAGTTTATCTTCAGAAGGAAATGCCCCCGAAAGGTAAATACTGACTAGCTCTTGGGGAGGGAGTACAGGTGTTTTACTTAGTTCTTTTTCTGAACCTATTTCTCTAACTTGGTGTAATGACTGGGCAAGGTGTTAGGGATTAAACCCGCCTGTGGGATGTCTGCTCGGCCCCACCCCCGGCACAGGGTGCCCCTTAGACCAGGGCACGAGGCCCCTGGAGGCTCCAGGAACCTATTTTTGCCCTGGGGAATTAAGGGCCAAACCAAGGAACATTCCCAAGTGCCAAGTTCACGGGGACAAAGAGCGTGTCACGGGAATGTCCAGCCACAGCGTCGCCCAGGGCTGAGCCCCCTCCCCCCCGGCTCCAGGCCTGTGCCGGGCACTGCTTGGCCTCCCTATGGGCCCGAGGGATGGACGACACCTGCAGAGACAACCAGGAGCGGAGCCGGCCTCTGTCTGCGGGGCAGAGAGCCAGGGCCCAGGTTCTGGAAGCAAGGCCGGGACTAAGCATTCAGGACGGTGGGCAAGAGCCAGGCGAGGGCGGAGGAGGGGTGTGTTGGGCATTCCGGCAGGGACTGCCAGCAGAAAAGGCAGCAGAGGGAGAATGAGCCAGCAATGCGGCCGGGAAGGTGCCCGTGGCTGAGGAGTGGCCTCCGGGGGAGGGGACAGGGATGGGGATGGGGAAGAGGCTGACTGGGTGGCAGGGGAGGGCCTGAGGAGTGCCAGGCTTAGAGCTGGAGGAGGTGAGGGCGGTGCTGAGCAGGGGGTAGCAGCTAAAGAACCAGTGGGGCTGTGTGGGCACAGGATGGGGCGCCAGGAGAGGGGCGGAGGCCTGGCCAGCGCAGGCCTCTGAGCACAGCTCTGGAGCGGGACAGCGGGGCACCGCTACCTGAATGTGAGGGGGGAGCAGAGGGGCTGGGTCTGTGGCTAAGGACCAGGCCGGAGGCGGGGACGTGGGAGCCGCCCAAAGCATCAAACCTCCTCTGTTAGGGTTCTTCTTGTCACCAGCATCAGGGACCAGGGCTTGGTCTCTGTCACTTGGGGGGGGGGGGGGGACCAGGACTAGGCGAGGCCCCCCTCGGTGACCTTGTTGGGAGGGCAGAGGAGGCCTGAGTGGACTTCATCCTGGGAAGCAAGGTGAGAGGTGGTCGCCTAGCAACCTTACCTGCGTCCACCTGCCCTGGTGGGACACTCGGGGCTCCCAGGAGAACCCCAGGAGGGGATACAGGCAGTGTGGCTGCCAGCACGGCCACTCGCCGGGCGGCGGGGCAGCAGGGCGGTCTGTCAGCCGCGGCACAGAGGGACTGGGACTCTGAGTGATGGATGGGGGCAGGAGGGAGAGCCCTTTCCACAGGCCGAACTCCAGGGGTCACTGTCCAAGGTGAGCACAGGCGGGGCTGCGCGGGCCTGGGCAGGTCACCAAATCCCAGCCTCCGCTTCCTCCTCGGTGAACTGGGAGCTCGGATTGCTCCCCCGGAGCCGCCCCAGAGGGCCGAGTCCTGTGCAGACGTTGGTTCCCTGAACTGTCTCCACTCGGAGCCCAGCAGGTCTGGGCCGGAGTCCCAGAGCTCATCTTTCAAAACAGAAACTCTGGTTCAGAGGGCCAGGCTCCGGCAGCCGGCCCCACCCCCTTCCCCAGCGGCGGGTGGGGTGGGGAGAGGTGGGGAGGGGTAGGTGGGGAGGGGTAACTGTCATAGTTTCCCAGGAGGCTGCGACCCGTTAGCCTGACCCAGGGGCTGATGCTGCTGGGGGGTAAAGGGTCCCCTCACTCGGGGACTGAACCCCACCGAGCCCCTCGAGCCCTTCCAGCGGCCCTGGGTCCCCCCGACGGCGGCCGCGGAGGAAGGGCCATGACGGGGCAGCTCGGGCCGGCGCTGCGGGGACCGGGCGGCCCTCGCCACCCCCGGGCCCCCGGCCACGGCCGCCTCGCCCGCCTCCCGGGCTCCCCCACACACACAGGGGGCGGGGGTTCGCGGCGAGGCTCGCGGGGCAAAGGGCGAGAAGCGCTCGGAGCGCGCGGGGCCCCAGATTCCCGGCGCCGGGCCCCGGGGGCGCGCCCCCCCTCGGAGCCCCCCTCGGGCGGGGGTCGCCGGGCGGCCGCGGAGCGGGCGGGGCTCCAGCCCCCCACTTCCGGGGAACTTGCAGAAGGGCCCGGCCGCCGCCTGCTCAGTGGGGGAAACTGAGTCCCGGAACCAGCGGCATCTCTGTCCGGCCCCCGCCCCCGCCCCCGCCCGGCCCGCGCCGTCCCCGTCCCAAGTACTCACCCGCCGCGAGGGGGCCGCGCGCGGCGCCGCGACGGCTCTGGGGCCTCCGGGCCGCAGCAAAGTTGTCGGGAGGAGCGGAGGGAGGAGCGGAGGAGCCGGGGCCGGAGAGAAGCGGCCGGGACGAGCGGCGGCGCCAGCAGCGGCCGGAGCCCTCAGCGCGGCCCTCCGCGCCGAGAGGGGCGGGCCTGGGGGCGGGGCCACGGGCTCGGGGGCGGGGCCGCGGGCCTCGCTCCACTCCCGGCGCGGCTGGGAGGACGCGGCGCCGGCTCGGCCCGCTGAGCGGCGGGCGCGCCTGTCAATCACTGCGCACGTCCGCCAATCACGGCGCGCCTCGCCGCGCTGTGGGCGACTTAGCCCCTCCCCTGCCCGGTCAGGCCGCGGGCGCCGGGGGCCGGTCCCGGTGCGAAAGTTTCCGAGCAGATTCTGGCCTCGGCGCCGCCCGGGCTTGGCCAGACCTCTCTCCTTTGCCTACGACCCGTGGCTGGTGGGACCCGTGGACAAAACGCGTGCCGCTTTCACCCACCGCTCCTCAGATCCGTTACACTTGCTATTGCAGCAGGAACTAGCAGGTGGAGCGCCTACTGTGCGCCAGGTACCTTCATTCCCTTCATCCCAGGCCCGCTGGAAAGACAGGGCTCCCCTGCTGCAGCAGCAGGGATACAGAAAGGTGGCCCGTTTGGCCGAAGCCGGTGTGGCTCAGTGGTAGAGCGTCGGTCTGCGGACTGAAGGGTCCCAGGTTCGATTCCGGTCAAGGGCATGTACTTTGGTTGCAGGCACATCCCCGGTGAGGGGTGTGCAGGAGGCAGCTGGTCGATGTTTCTTTCACTGACATTTCTAGCTCTCTATCTCTCTCCCTTCCTCTCTGTGAAAAATCAATAAAATATATATTTAAAAAAAAAAAAAGGTGGCCCGTTTAAATGTGTACATGCAGCGTCGCTTTACATGCAAGGAATCAAATGCACGTGGCACTTTTTCACAAGGGAATCGGGGGCGCGTTTAAAAATGAGTGTTAGCCCAGGCAGGCAGTGAGGCCAAGAGAGGCAGCTTGAGAGCCCTCTTCTTGGGTCTGACAGGCGTGGTTTGAAGAGGAGGGCAAAGGTCTGTCCCTGAGGCAGGGAGGCCCGGGGCAGGCCGTGGCTTGTGTCTGCTCTGTGATCCTCCAGGCCACCCTGAGCTGGGGGGGGGGGGGGGGAGTTGCCAGCCGTATGCCCCCAACACGGTGGGAGCAAAGATTCCCGATGGTTTCGGAGATGACCGCCACTGGCTGAAGGCGTTCCCCGGGGACTTTTGTCAAAGCTGCACGCTTCAGGTCCGCCCCCTCGCCTCGTTCCCCAGCTGCCCC